CACGCTTAGCTCATGCCCTTGAGAGACGGAGACGGGCAGATTAAATCAACCTAAACACCAGGGTCTCATCTTGACATGCAACTCTTAAAACTTGCAGACTCTTATTGAGACAGAAGCATTATTGGAGGGCACACCAGAGGGAAGCTGAGCACCAGCCAGGGGATGCCGGGAACATGGGAGGGATGCTGGGCACACTGAAAGGAAGCTGGGCATGGCAGAGGGATGTTGGGTACCAGCCAGAGGATGCTGGGCACACTGGAGGGATGCTGGGTATGGCAGAGGGACGCTGGGTACCAGGCAGGAGATTCTGGGCACCCCAGAGAGATGCTGGGCACACCGGAGGGATGCTGGGCACCGGCCAGGGGATGCCGGGAACGTGGGAGGGATGTTGGGCACACTGGAGGGAAGCTGGGCATGGCAGAGGCATGCTCGGTACCAGCTGGGGGATGCTGAGTACCCCAAAGGGATGCTGGACACACTGGAGGGATGCTGAGCACGGCAGAGGGATGCTGGGTACCAGCCGGGGAATGCTGGGTGGGTGCAGAGGAGCGGGCGGCTCTGCCGGGCTTCCACTGCTAAACCAGTTTGCTGCTAAACTGGTATGAAACACACCGTGTTTGTAACCGGTGTGAATTAGCGCGTGCCGATTTGCTCACGGCACAGGGGAAATTAGAAACAGGGACATCAGCAAATTCCAGGGGCCTGCTAAAAATCCGTAAATGCTTAAACACTCTCCTTTACCGGGCCACTCATAAAAAAAAAACCCAAAAAACAAAAACCAAACCAAACGAGGGAATGTAAAATAAGAAATCCCTTTTAAGACAGGCTGCTAGAGCAAAGCCTTCTCTCCGCTCCCAGCCACGCAGCTGTAAACCTGGCTGCCGTCCACCAAAACCGGAGCTCTCCGTTCCCAGTTCCAGCAGCATCCGACCCATCTCCGCCTTGTTTTGGTCTGGGGAGAAAAATCACACATCTGCTGCGCGAGGGAGAGCGCGGGCAGGGAGAACAGGCAGGGAATGAAGGCAGGGAAAACGGGCAGGGAAAACGGGCGAGGAGCATGGGCAGGGAGCGCGGAGGGGTGCGGTGGGCACAGCCGCTTCCACCAGCGCTCTCGACAAGTTTCTGGTCCATACCTCCCACTGCTACTTTATTTACTGCAGCTGGCCGGCCTTTTATAGCCTGTTTCATGTATTAAAATTCAAATGTGGAAAACATTACCAGTATCCTCCTTGATTTTATTTTTTTTTTTTTTTAAATTTTTTTTTTTTCCCTTCCCCACCCCCCCTTCAACTTCCTTTTCAGCGTGGAATGTATCAAATGGTCAAAGGCTAAACTTCAGACTGACTCGACTCAAAAACTATTTCCTTTGTTCTTCATGTTCTCACTTCCAAATTCATACCAGTTTTCCAAAAGCAAACGAGCGGGCCCGACTCTTTCACCCAAGTTACGGTTTCAGACAGTGAGTAATGCTTCTGGGGACCGCGGCAGGCTCGGGGTTTGCAGGGAAACAGCCCCCTTTCTCTCTCCCAAAGCATCCCAACCTTCCTGCTCCGGTACCTTGCTCTGACCATTAGCAAAAGTCCACCTCAAACGAGCCAGACCCCATCCCTTGGCATTTCTCCTAAAAAACCAACTGCCACCATATTCCTAAAAATATTAAAGAATTTTTAGATGCGAAACGCCGGCACTTCCATTTCTCATTGTTGCTGATTTTTTTTTAATTATTTTTATTCTGTTTTAGTCTAACTTCACCTACATCTGGTATTTAAGCAAGGAGTGAATATTTCTGGAACAAACTGTCTCTGAAGCGATGCCCTGGGTGCATGTTGCATCGGTTTAACATATGCAAAGCGAACAAAGCTACAAAAATTAAACCCCTTTTTCTCTTGATTGAGAGCAGATACGCAGAAACGGTTGCAAGTCACAGATCTGGCTTTTAATAAAGCCAGATTTCTTCATTAAAAGCAGTATTGTTGAAACACTGGAGGAAAAAATAGCTTTGTACAAACCCAAATCTTAGATTATATGTATCCCAAGTGTATTTAACATATTACCTGAGGCCAAGCTAAATTACAATCTAGAGTTTCCTTTTGTGAATTCTCAGCAATTGCCACAGAGAGCAAAACAATGTCTGGTTCATGCTAATTTTATTGGGGAAAGGGAGAGGAGATGGATTTAACTGAGCTGCTGAAAAAGCATCTTTTTACCTCTCAGAGCCTTTTGCCAGACTATTTTCAGTTAACACTTCATGGTTTGTTTTTTTATTTTTTTTTTTTTAATCTGCAAATGGCGCAGCCTTTAATGATATTTTACCCACGACAGGGCCACTTTTAGTAACATTTAATTTAATGAGGAGCAGAGCCCGGCACAAAGCTGCGCC